GGATGCTGCACGGGCCTCAGTGCGCACGGCTCAGTCCCAGCCGCCCGGGCCACGGGGCCGGCGGGCAGGTTACTCAGAGGAAACATCAGGGTGGCGGGGGTTCTCGCCGGGCAGGCCCAGGTGACCTGGACCCCCTCCCCCGGGGAGGGTGGGCAGATATGGAGGCCGGGGCTTCTTGCCGAAACTGGAAAATGCAGAAACAACACCGACGCCCAAAAGTGCAGGCCTCGTGGAACTCGAGTCGGGGAGCCTCGTGGGGTGTGCCCCCTCCAGCGGGCGGGGTCGGTGCGCGCCCCCACCCCCAGCCCATCTGGGTGGCCTTGCACACCCCGGGGCAGGGGACAGCTCCCATCCCTGTGGCACCCAGCGCAGGCCAGGCGGTGTAAGAGCTTTATTAGTGACTCACTCAGTCACAACCCCGCCGAGTAGGAAGCCGACAGCGCTGACCCGGGCTGGATGGGGCTTCCAACCTTTCCCGCCCTCTTTTTTATAGTTTTTTTATGCTCTTCAGCCTCCCGTGCACCAGGCGTTTGGCCGGGAGCGTGGACCGCCCGGCTGAGCTGTCTCAGTCCAGGAGGAGGTAGTGAAAGGGGATTTGATGGGTGCACCTGGCGCCTTGAGCAGGAGACCTAAGTCCAGCTAGTGGCCCTCCCCCGCCCTCCCCCTGTCCTCCCTGAACTTCCTGTCCTCCCCATCTCGCAGGGTCGGTGTTTGGGTGGCTATAGCTCCCTCTGGATCCCCTTGCCGCCAGCGCACCAGTCCTCTTGTGCCTCTGCTGTCCCCGTCACTCTCCAGCCGCTTCCTAGGCATGATTCGTGGTGCAGGAGGGAGGACATCTGGGGGGGAGGGGGGCAGTCGGGCCTTCCTGGTGGCATCTCTGTCAGCTCCCTGTGTCCCTGATGGACCTAAAGCAGCATTGCCTGAGCTGCAGGCACTGATTCTGCTGGTAGTGAGAGCTCTGTCTTCCCGTGGGGGCTTTCAGAACTTTACCCTTAATTACTGGTCTCCTGTCACACATGCCCAGGTAAAGGGGGAGGAGGGACCCCCACGACACCCCCCCCCACACACACACACACTGTTCAACCTCCCTTTCTCCTAATGTTACAGGCAGGGTGGGGAGTCATGTGCTGACACCACAGCAGTTTGGGCCTTGAGATGCTTCCTCTCGGGTTAACACAACACCCCTCGCACCCCACACTCAGAGGCCTTTCTGTCAGGGCACATCCCCCCGCCCCCCAGCCCACAGCACCTCTTCCCTGGGGAACCCCGGCACCCCAGTATGTTCACTCCCGTTCTGCTGACTTAACTCCTGTACAACCCAAGTCTAGTCCAGTGAAGGCTGCTCCCTCCAATGACTCCTGGCGGCCCCGCATAGAAGGCATGCGTTCCAAACATCGTCACAACAGACGTGCAGGTGGCGGTCCGGGCCTGAGAGCGCACGCCGTGTGGCCTTCGTGCGTGGCCTTTGTGTCCGGCTTCTTTAGCTCAGCGTCATACTTTCCTTTTGAAATAGGTTTTTATTGATTTCAGAGAGAGGAAGGGTGAGGGGGAGAGAGAGAAACATTGATGAGAGAAACATTGACCTGCTGCCTCCTGCACGCCCCCTGCTGGGGGTCGAGCCCGCGACCAGGCGCGTGCTGTGATGGGAATCAAACCAGGGACCCGGAGCACGGGATGACGTTCAACCCCTGAGCCTCGCTGGCGGCCTCAGCATGTCAGAGCGTCACACCTTTGGAGGGACTGGTTCCCGCCTGCTGAGTAGCCGGGAGGTTCGCTGACATCACGGTGGCAAGGGGGCCTCCCCGCGGGCCCGCCGCCCGTTTAATAGTGTCCCCTCCCTCTGCACGCAGGGTCTCTGTCTGCACGCAGGGCCTCTGCAGGGGCACCGGGACCGGGGGTGGCAGTTACCAGGCAGCCTGGGTCCTGGGTCCCCTTGGCTGGTCTGTAAGTGTCAGAGCAGCCTCCGCCGCACGTTCAGGCCCCGGGGTCCATACCACCGCCCGTCCCTGGAGGAAGGTCATGATGGTAGAAGCGGGATCCCCTGCATCAGGAAATAAATGTATGGGCGAGCGTGGGAAGCAGAGGCGGCAGGTGGGGCGGGGGCTGAGGCCACCCTCCCTGCTGTGTGCCCCCCCCCCCATCTCCGGGGGCAGCTCTGCTGGGGAGGAGCCTTTGGAGGGACTGGTTCCTGCCTGCTGAGTAGCCGGGAGGTTCGCTGACATCACAGTGGCAAGTGGGCCTCCCCGCGGGCCAACGCCCGTTTAATAGTGTCCCCTCCCTCTGCACGCAGGGTCTCTGTCTGCACGCAGGGCCTCTGTCTGCACGCAGGGCCTCTGCAGGGGCACCAGGGCCGGGAGTGGCAGTTACCAGGCGGCCTGGGTCCCGGGTCCCCTCGGCTGGTCTGTAAGTGTCAGAGCAGCCTCCGCCGCCCGTTCAGGCCCCGGGGTCCATACCACCGCCCGTCCCTGGAGGAAGGTCATGATGGTAGAAGCGGGATCCCCTGCATCAGGAAATAAATGTATGGGCGAGCGTGGGAAGCAGAGGCGGCAGGTGGGGCGGGGGCTGAGGCCACCCTCCCTGCTGTGTGCCCCCCCATCTCCGGGGGCAGCTCTGCTGGGGAGGAGGGACGTGCGCGTAGCTTGCCCAGCCTCGTCGCCGCCCTCCTTGGCCGCTGCCCGTGTGCCTGGCTGTGCCCCCCGCAGAGCCTCTGGTCACAGGGACACGGGGATGACTAGCGCAGAAGTGGAAGCACAGCACAGGGTCTGACGGCTCCGTAGCAGCAGCTGCCTCGGCGCCCAGGTATCGGGGAGGGTGGTGTCCCGCCGGGTGTGGACCTGCCCGGCCGGCCAGCAGGGACCCCCGTGGGCGGGACCGAGCCCCTGCACTGGGGATGTGTGTCGACAGGAGGATGTTAATTAACATCACACAGTAAACAACGAAAATCCTGCTGGGGACCCAGTTCCATCCCGGTCCAAACCCGAGAGCTGGGCCTGTCACTCTTCCTCTGCCCACCTCGTCCACCCACGCGCATCCCAGAGCGAGGCGCCCTGCCCCGTTGGGAACATCCCGCTGCGCGGCACTCACGCCTCCTGCCGTTGGCTCAGCTCTTTTTTTTTTTTAATAAATTTTTATTGTTTTCAGAGAGGAAGGGGGAGAGAGAGAATCATCAATGCTGAGAGAGAATCATCCATCAGCTGCCACCCGCACACCCCCTACTGGGGATCAAGCCCACAACCCGGGCATGTGCCCTTGACCGGAACCCAACCTGGGACACTTCAGCCCACAGGCTGACGCTCTATCCACTGAGCTACACCAGCCAGGGCTGCTCAGTTCGTTAATAAAGGAAACTTCAATCCACGTACAATTCCTGAAAGCCTTTCTTTCAACTTTTTAAATTCTTACTTCCCCTGGAAGGAAGCCACCCCACACAGGGCTGTGGAGCCCACAGCGAAGGAGCCAGACCACCCGGGGCCCGTATGCACCCTCTTGTCTCCTACGAGGAGGGGACAGAAGCCCGGGCTGCTGGCCAGGGGCCATGACAAACGCCTGCTGACCGGGGCGCGTTCACGTGGGCAAAGCAAGGGGGTGGGGTGGGGAGGGGAGGGAGCAACCAGGCCCTGCCCGGCTCTGGCTCTCACCAGCCAGCCGCCTGGGACGGCTCCTCCCCAGCCCGGCCTCCGTGGCCGCGTCTGTGAAATGGGAGACACCTGCTTGGTCACCCACTCAGTGAGCGCCCCCTGCTGGGCGCTGGTCTGGGCCCACCTCCCCGCAGACGGGACGACGAGCAAACAGCTTCGGGTCCCAGGAGAGAACAGAGAACCCTCCTGCCACAGACGGACAGGCAAGGGCTGCAGGGTGTGTGTGTGTGTGTGTGTGTGTGTGTGTGTGTGTGTGAGAGAGAGAGAGAGAGAGAGAGAGAGAGAGAGGGAAACCTCCTAGGAAAACGGCTGCGAAGAGGGCGCGGGAGGCAGAGGTCGGCCGCGTCCTGGAAACACAGGCCCCGCTGCCTCTGGGAGCCGGGCGGCCGCTGTCCCAGAGCTGTGTTGGGGGGCGGTTAGTGGGACTTGTGTTTCGTTTTTCCTCGTTGACGTGCGGCTTGTACTTTGCCGTAGCCAGTAGCACCCTTTATGTTTATGATCAGAAGGGAAG